AATACACCTCACAGGATTCTTCGGTGAGTGCTGCATATTCAGATTTTAGCCTGTCGACCTGAGAAGTCAAGTCCTTCAGCATTTGAATCGTGTCGGATAGAATGGAAGCTTTGTCATTTTTTGGTCTGTCCGGGTCTGCAAGCAAATCAAAACACGGTTTCTTAAAACAATTCTACGATTTCCCCCTAGCAAGCCAACTAAACCACAGATGAGTTTAGTTAAAATAGCACGGCATTCGAAGAATAAACAGATAATCGGTGATAAACAAACTCTGGAGAGAGGGAAGGGAACAAAAATGTAGTGAAGCTTCAAGACCCCTATACCATGTTCGGTAGGTCTTATGTTAGGCCGGCATACTAGTTCTACAAATATGCCTACTTTCATTATAAAATGTCATACTTTAAGAAACAATATAAACAAAAGCATGTCATTTAACAATACAAGTAAGCAAATCAAAAACACGGTTTTTTTAAATCAATTCTACAATGTCCACCTACCAAGCCACTAAACCACAGATGAACAGTTTAACTAAAAAAGCACGGCATTCAAAAGAATAAGCACATAATCGGTGATAAATCAACTCCGGAGAGAGGGAACAACAAATATAGTGAAGGTCAAGGCCTTCTAAGCCCCTATACCTTGTTCGGTAGGTCTTATGTTAGGCCGGCATACTTGTTCGACAAATAAGCTTACTCTCATTATAAAATTTCATACTTGAAGAAACAATATAAACGAAAGCATGACACTTAACAACACAAGTATGCTTTTTTGTCCACAGAGTGACGGGTCGACCCCTTAACCGCTTAGTTCGCCGCATTTAAGAATTTGTGTACATTGTTAATGGCTCCTTAGAACACCCACACAAACACATTAACCTAGTCCAGAACTTCCTTTGCCTCCTTTAATTTCCATTAAAAGCACAAAAATCAATCACCATGACCAGATTCTAAGATGCGATGAAGCTATTGGCTATTTCTTCCTGTTCGTACTCCTCAAACTCAGTAAAAAACCTATGGCATTAAATACAATAAAGCTGTACAAATCAGACAAGAATTTTACCGAGGGTGTTCCCCAACTCCATGAACTGCTCGTTCAGGCGGTCCCTCCTCAATTTCTCACGGTCAGCTTTCTGAACTTTTCTGGCAGTAATGGCGTCGATGATCTCAGCGTCCATCCTCAAATCGAGCACAAACCAAGAAGAAATTACCCAATTAATCAGGTCAAGATGGAAGATGAATACTGATAAATATAACTAAAATTAAAAATCGATCCACGCTCTGTTATCCTCCCGCCATTTTTGAAGCTTTATCGGATCGAAGAAAAAAAAAACCAGAAAATCGAGGGAGATGGAAATTGGAAAGAGATGATCAGATGAAGAAAACGAGAGAGAGAAGATATTTTAATTTTTTTAGGGTCCACTGTTTATTTGTTCTCCACATATACTCCGACCATTAGACTATTAGCCCAAACTAGTGGCCCATAAAGCCCAAAGACAAAGCCCTTTGTATTGCAAGTTTACTACTGGTGGCCCATATATAGGTGTAAATAGGTCATAAATCCCAAATATAAGATCTTTTTATTCCAAGTTTTGCCGAGTTAAGATAAGGGGGGTTTACTGATCGTAGCCCATTGGGCTAAGTAAACCCATCATTTAATAAAATGTACTTAAATTAAGCGTTAAATGAAAAAATAATGTCTCGACCCAAAGCGGTTGGGGGCCTCGGCTTCAAAGACCTCCGTCGTGTGAATATTGCCCTGCTGATGAAACTTGGATGGGGGCTATTAACAAAGCCCGATGCTTTATGGGTATGTGTGCTACGAGCTAAATATAATATCTCCGCTACAACAGATGTGGCGACTCTCTCTTGTCGTACGCGCTCGCCATTGATGCAAGCCCTCGTTACGATGCGGCCACATGTCTCGCAGGGGGTCTGTTGGAAATGGCAGAACAACCCGATTCTGGTCAGACCCGTGGTTGGGTGCGATGGGCGCTTTGCGGGGCCTTATTTCTTGTGAGCTGCATGCGTCTGAAATAAACCTGAAAGTGGCAGATATGGTTAACGAGTATGGCGACTGGCGATGGGAGTCGTTTCAAGGGCTCTTTCCTTCCTCCGCGCTTCTGAGGATAGCCGCCACACTTCCTCCATGTGTGTCTGCCGGCGCTGATCGGCTGTCTTGGGGGCCGTCGCCGGACGGCTGTTTCTCTACAAAGACCGCGTACGAGTCGCTCTCGCCGCCAATAAGCGAGTCGTCTACCCCCATCTGGAAAATTATATGGAGAGTTATGGTGCCTCAACGAATCCGTACTTTCTTATGGCTCGTGAGCAAGGATAGACTGCTGACTAATGTGGAGAGGTTTCGACGTGACATTGCTTCTTTTGAGGAGTGCGATTTCTGTGGGCAGCGCAAAACTGTATTCCATGTGTTGCGCGAGGTGCAGATTTATCGGTGAGCTGTGGAACGAGCTGCTCCCGGCGGGTTTCTTTGGGCAGCCCTTCAAGCTGTGGCTTATGTCTAACCTCTCCAAGTCCCGACTGGGACCATACGCGAACTGGAGAGGACTTTTTGCAATAGTAATCTGGAGGGCATGGGCTTGGCGCAATGACCGAGTGTTCAATGGTGTTTCCTTTGGCAAAGCAACGCGGCGGGCAGAGGTTTTGCACCGGTTGGAGAGCTACACGATCTCGAACCTGGCCATCACTCGGGACGGAGCGGACACACAACAATACGACACACGCTTGATCTCTTGGGCTCCGCCGGATCCGGGGTGGCTTAAAGTTAATACCGATGGAGCGTTCGACTCTTCGTCGGGACTAAGTAGTACCTGGGGGGCTTATTCGCGACGCTAACGGTGCGTGGATAATAGGTTTCCTTATGCATATATGCTATTATACCATCACCAGAGCGGAATTGTGGGTCTTTTTCAGGGGTTGCAACTTGCGTGGGCTTAGGGTTGCCGCCAAGTGCTCGTGGAAGTTGACAGCCTAAGCGTAGTACAACTGATTCTCGGTCCCAGTAATGTTGCCAGGGCACATGATGCCTTGGTCCGTTCGGCAGTTGCTTAAGAAGGATTGGATAGTTCGTTTATATCACGTGCACAGAAAGGCCAACTTTGCGGCCGACCATTTGGCGAGCTTAGCATGTACCGCTCCGGTTGGATTTCATGAGTTAGTTGCTCCTCCCCCTAGTGTGGGAGATTGGCTTGAGCATGATATTATCGGGGTCTCTTACCCCCGACGAGTTCTAGTTTAGTAGTTAGGCCTCCAACCTCATTCTTTGTACCAAAAAAAAATAATAATAAATAAATAATAATGTCGTAATAATTGTAAATATGAGACAACAAAGACAAATATAGCGATTAAATTAAATTATTACATAAATAATTTTATGAAAGAAATATTTGCCGGGATTTTACTTTAATTATTATTTGGTTAGAATATTGTAACTAAATGTCTATTTAAATTCTTCAAATTCATGGTGACTTGATTTAAATTTTATATATGTCTATTAGAATTTTTAAAAACTATATTTTAAAAGATGATCAAATTAACTTACAAATATTTTAAAACTTAATATTTATATTTTATTAGCTCTTGTTTTGCATAACGTATTCAGTTAGTTATATTTTGACGTACGATTGATTAATTTGATGTCCATGTTGCATATATAAAATAACAAATATATTTTTATAAAAAATAAATTCTTTATTAGTTTAATTAAAAAAATTAAACTTATTATTTGAAAAATAATTTACTATAGCTCCTTACATCATGAGTTGGAAAAGTTATTGCAACCTAAGACTAGTAAATTTAAAATCATCTATTTTTAAGTTTTTTTCTTTTTATAAATAGATTTATTGTTTTTTATTTATTTTTTATTTTTTCATAACTAGAAGTAGTTACAACTACTCGTTTCATACCTATATTATTAGCCATTTTAGTGTTACGGATTTCAGTTTCGTTTATACGTACATTATTGGGCATCCATTATTGGTTCGTTTTATGGCCGCCATTGCAGAATAATTTCGGAGTCTTCAAAATGATGACCTTTCACAATTCATTTAAGAAGTTAAATGTATAGCATTTAAGAAGAGCAAAATTAATTAGTTGGAAACTTTATTGTTCTTTAATTAACAAGTTATTGTTCTTTTTAAACGCATTTGTAAATCTATATATATAATTGCTAGCTAATCATTAAATAAAACTTCATAAAGAAAATCTAATTAATAAAACCTCATTTATTTTTCCTCCAAAAAAAGTTACAAAATTTGTCATTCATATTTTGCCTTTCACATTAATACACCCTATTAAGTGTAATAATGTAAAATAGTTAATAGCATTAACTATTATTAATATAATAGCAAAAAAATAGCATTAACTACTATAATAATAATAATAATAATAATAATAATAATAATAATAATAACAATAATAATAATAATATCTTGAAACAATAAATATGTTTATACTTATGTAATTTATATTTAGTGTGAAATATTATGAGTTGGTAATAGCAGTAACTATTATATATTATAATAGCAAAAAAATACATGATTACACTTAATAGGGTGTATTAATGTGAAACGCAAAATATGAGTGACAAATTTTGTAACTTCTTTTGGAGGGAAAATAAATGAGGTTTTATTAATTAGATTTTATAAATACATGATTACACTTAATTAGGTTTTATGAATGATATTATTATTATTATTATTATTATTATTATTATTATTAGATTTATTATTATTATTATATTATTATTATTATTATTATATTTTAATTTTGTATTTCATGAAACAATTTTCTTTAGAAACAATTAGTAAATAGTTTTAATAGTATAGTAGAAAAACTTTAAAATCTTATAAACAATTATCGTTGTAATAAGAATAGTAATAATAATAATAATAATAATAATAATAATAATAATAATAATAATAATAATAATAATAATAATAATAATAAAGTTTGCAAGTAAATTATTTGATCATGATCCCTCCAAATTATAAAAATTACATTACCCACAATTTTTTTAATCAATATAGTGACTCATATGTACTCAATTAATTGATATAAATATTATTTTATTTTTACTAATGATTAAATCTTGATCAAAATGTGGTATGTCCATTATCTAGAATTTTAATATTAAATTTACATATCTTGAAAATGTGATATGTTTATTATCTAGAATTTAATATTAAATTCACATATCTTGAAAATGTGATATGTTTATCATCTATAATTTTAATATTAAATTCACACATATTACTTATAATATTTTATGTACATTTGTGCATGTGCACAAGATGATAACTAGTTGTAATAAAAGGGATAGGCTAAGGTTCCGTTACGGAACCATTTCATCGGAGTTTGTAACCGTTAGATCATCGTGTAACTGTTAGAGATAATTGATTTAACGGTTACAAACACCGACGGAATGATTTCACCGTAACATCTTCCGTAATAAAAACCTATGTGCCTTAATTAGTAGGCCGTTAACCCTACATTACATGCTAATTATGTGTTTTAGCTTCAATTATACAAAATAATAATAATTAATTAGCTGAAAACATAATTAAAGTCACGTGAATAAGTTGATATTTCA